TAAAATATTTAATATTTAATAGTATTTTTGTTAAAAAACAATGCTTCAAAGATATTTTGTAATGAGGAATTTCATAAGTTTTTTAATGGTCCAATTCTACAGATGGATTAGTTTTAGATACTAAAAACTATATTTATCTCCTGGTTTATACCAAAAAAATCAGAGCCTCTATATTTCTGAATCAAAGACATAGTACAATATATTCACACAATAATTAATATGGATATTAATATTTTTGATTTAACAAGTTCCAAAATATAATAATCTCAAATATATGTTTGTATGTCAAAATTCGTTTAATTTTATTTTTTGTTTAAGACATTAAGTATGTAACACGATGTTTAATTACATAAAGGTAATTTAAGGTAGTATTGGTACAAATGTCGACAGTGAATAATTGCAACGTGAATGTCACAGTAGTTATTACACACTTCAAACTGGACTTAATAAAAAACCAACTAAATAAAAATAGTTCAACAATTGTTAGGATATAAATTAACCAACATTTACATTAACGTTCAACTGAAACAACATCTCTAAATCAAGTATTTGACGTTTGAAGTCTAGAACATCCTTTAACTTTTGAATTCTATTTGTAAAATTACGATCAATGGACTCGTTTGAAAATGTTTATTAACGTTTGTAATTCATTATTTCTACATCATAATAATATGATATTCCTGGAATCGTTTCGTTTTTCTTCTCTGGAAAGGTTTTTTATCCATAAATAACAAGTTGAGCAAATTTTTAACCAGAAAATATAATATGAATGTATTTTTGTTCTTTAATACCATTACTCAGTAACAGTGTCTCTAATTTAAGTGCCATCTTATCACTATGTTTATTTATTTTTATCGCCCATTATATTATTATTTATTTCAGATACTTTCCGTTTTTAAGCTCAAACGTATGAGCTTTGAAGTCACATGTTTTATACAGTAGTTATTTCTTCTTTTTTATTCATATAAGAAATATTTATACAATTTATATTACTGTACCTTTGATTCACGAAAATCACGTATACAATATTTCAAATCTCATTCGTTCTTATGCTTTTTGAAATAAAACAAAAATATAAACGCAAATATTCTGAAAAAAAAAAACTCATTTATTAAATTAATATACGGCAATTTTTTTACTTTCATTTGGATTAATACAGAGCTATTTATATTACAAGAATTTCTCTCGTTAAAATAGTATAGTAAATATGTGTTTAATACTTAAATTATTATAAACGTTCCTAAATGTGATTGGAAGAAAATTATGAAATTTATCGTGAACTATCTATTCAACACAATTTTTTGATAGGCGAAAATAAAGCAAAAAAAATTTGGGGGCTTACGATATATGTTAATATTTTTTCTACATAGTTAAATATGCTTTTATATATAATAGTATATATAACTTAATAGTATTTTTGGAGGTTAAATGCCCCACCCAGTCTTTTTTTTGTTTCCACTAGTGTTGATCCCAAAATGATACATAGAAACGTAGCTGGAATAACACCGATTTTATTCAATGTTTATAACAGATACGCGATTATTACGGTATTTTTATGTCATAAGAAACGTTTCATAAACTTGTTAATAATCTAATTATAGTATTTTATTGGCATCTAAATTTCATTGGTGTTTGTTCTTTCATTAACTCTCTTTGCAAGTAGATTAAAAGTATTATCAACGTCATTTCAATTTTATGATTGCCAAGGCCAGTAGAGAACTCATACAAAACTAACGGAATCGCTTTCGATTTTTTAAGTAGAGAACTTTTAAAAGTTATTTAATAGTTATTTTTCTAAAAAATATTTTTTATGAAAGGGAACAATTGAATTAAGTTGTTAGCAACAGGTTACTTCTTTGCTAAGTATGAATGAACTTTCTTTTTCGGAGAACTTTACAATGTAAGTCGACTTTGACGTGTTGTTTTAATGCATTTGTATGCGAACGTTTCTATTTAATTTACTTTTTAGTATAAAAGTTTTAATGATTCTATTAAACTGTCAGAGTTTAATTTTAATCAGCGTTATTACATAGTAATTTCAATATTATTCTATTTTTAATGTTAAAAATGATCTAATTCATAACAAATTCTAGTTACTTATCCTAAATATAAAAATAATTAACATTTAATAAATATGAGCCGAAAAACTTTCACAGTTTTAATTACTTTTGGTTGTTCGATTGAAAATACAAATAATTGAATAATCAATAGAGCTCATTTAAATAAAAGTATACATTTGCTAGTTTTAATCAAAATTCGTTTAACAATACTTGTAAGATTTTTTAAACAACTCAAAATAATATTTAAAAATGTTCAATATCTTTGTATTTTAATCGAATAGCGCTATAAAAAACAGATGTATCATCTAGACGTAGTGATTTGTGTTCAAAAAGAATTTGCCAAGTCTAAAGTCGTGCAGTTTCATTATGAGTAGACCATGTGAACGTGCGACGACCAAAGGGATATGGGCTCTTCAGGGCTCTACCGGTTTCTGATAGATCGGGTGGCGTCGGTGGTATGAGTCAGCTGTAAGTTCATAACGTAACACGAAGCAGCGTACGGCACGGGACGGACATTGTACGTCGGGCGCGGCGGTACACCTCTGGCATACGTCACGGCCGCGTAAACGCCGCCGTAACGGTCGTCGTTGCCTAGGGAACATTGGCGGTCCCTTCGTGAGTCGTAACCGTTCGCGCGCCTGTGTAGGTGCGATAGTGTGTGCCGCCGGGGAAAAAAAATTTATTATAAAACGTCCAACGGCCACCGCCGCCGCAGCCACCGTCGAAGGGCTGTGTTGTAAATCGATCGGCGGCGCAAGCGCTCGAGTCTCGTAAATCGGAGCGCGCTCGGTGACTCGCTTGGTAAAAATAAAATAAAAAAATAAACGCGCTTACCCAAGTCCGTCGACCGCCTCATACCGAGACCCAAGTCGTCGCGCCAGTGTAGCTGCTTAAGCAACGTACACTGGACGCGTTTCGCTGCCAAACACCGATATCTTTGGCGAGCACGCTAGTGTGTGTCTTTTTTTTCTACCTTTTCAATGCAATTTGTATCGGTTAACGACGGTGTGTCAGTGTAGTGTTAGCGCGCGCTCCCGTGAACTCGACCAATTCGTTCAGGGTGCAAACGTTCGCCGGTGATGTGACAGGATTCTAGGACGACGAGACGACGGTGTCTCGGACACGATTACAATGCGTTTGGCCCGAGAACGCCTGAACATGCGACTCGGTCGGCGGTGATACCACTGCGGTCATTCCCCCGCACAGCATGGCCTCGGTGGCCGCTTGGTTGCCGTTTGCCCGGGCAGCGGCCATCGGATGGGTGCCGATCGCCACACATCCGTTGCCGCCGCCGCCGATTCCTAAAGATCGGCGAAAGATCGACGACGAAAAGCTTCTGATCAACGTGTCCGGACGACGATTCGAGACGTGGCGAAACACGGTCGAAAAGTACCCAGACACATTGTTGGGTTCTAACGAGCGAGAGTTTTTCTATGACGAAGACTGCAAGGAGTACTTTTTCGACCGGGATCCAGACATCTTTCGACACATACTCAACTATTATAGAACCGGTAAGCTGCACTACCCCAAACACGAGTGTCTGACTAGCTACGACGAGGAATTGGCATTTTTCGGTATACTACCCGACGTCATCGGTGACTGTTGTTACGAGGATTACCGTGACCGTAAACGGGAGAACGCCGAACGGCTGATGGACGACAAGTTATCAGAGAGCGGCGACCAGAATTTGCCGCAGCTTACGAACATCCGACAGAAAATGTGGCGGGCGTTTGGCAACCCGCATACGTCCACGGCCGCCTTGGTGTTCTACTACGTCACCGGCTTCTTTATCGCCGTCTCCGTCATGGCCAACGTGGTGGAAACCGTACCGTGCGGACACCGGCCCGGCCGAGTAGGCACTCTGCCGTGCGGTGAACGGTACAAAATAGTGTTCTTCTGCCTGGACACTGCCTGCGTCATGATCTTCACCACCGAATACCTTTTGCGGTTATTTGCCGCTCCCGACAGATGCAAATTCATGCGGAGCGTCATGTCCATTATCGACGTGGTGGCCATTCTGCCCTACTACATCGGTTTAGGTATCACCGACAACGATGACGTGTCCGGCGCGTTTGTAACCCTTCGAGTGTTTCGAGTGTTCCGTATATTTAAATTTTCCAGACACTCGCAGGGACTTCGTATTCTCGGTTACACGCTCAAATCTTGTGCCTCCGAATTGGGTTTTCTCGTGTTCTCATTGGCCATGGCCATTATCATTTTCGCAACGGTTATGTTTTACGCAGAGAAGAACGTGGACGGCACTAACTTCACGTCCATACCGGCTGCGTTCTGGTACACTATTGTCACAATGACTACGCTCGGGTAAGATGCATTAGATTGATTGAATATATACATATTTGTTTAACGTCCGATAATGTGATAATGTTCTATTTTCATTTATTCATTACGAGTAAAAACCACCGAATGGTTACACACACGAATGAATAACTCGTATATTTGTATCTACAAATGTCAGTAGCGTACTAGGATTTTTCAATGGAGGGATATATAATTTTTAACAGTCATACATAATCATAATCATATTTCAAGATATCCCCATACCATCCCCCGTAAATTCGCTACTGACAATTGCATGTACCTAAAACTCAAATTATACCGATTGAATTCAAACAATTTGTAATCATAAAAGTCCAGAAAATAAAAAATATTTATTTTAAAAAAACTATTAAAAATAATATTTTTATAAAAGCTCGTAAACTTAAGGTACTTAAGCATGCATCATTAATACATTAAAATCTTTGCAATTAAATTTTTGGGTGCTCACATTACAACTGCTGACTCTATTGGAAGGTAACCATATTACAGTGTTTAATGTTATTTTCAAACACCATATTGAATGTGTATAGTGATTATGCCTTTTAGAAACAGACGAGACATTTTATGGCGACTTTATTATTACTTTATATTATTAGGTACTTAATAGCATAACATACAATAATAACAACAAGATTAAATCTCCAATGAACAATTCTATACAAACTCAAAGTTTTTTAACGATCAGATTTTAATCAAATCGTCTACTATACAAGAAAATCAAATCTTCTTTCAATTTAATTCCTATACAAACTCTTAAAAAATAGAGTAAAAAGTTTTTGATTTTTCATAACTTTATTCGAAAATACAATATTACATCAAAAAAATCAAGTGTCATAGTAAACAGTAATAAAATATTTTTACTTGAATGCGTGTTTATAATGGCAATCGAAGGGAGAAATAGAGTGTAATGAAAACTAACCTAAGTCAATGTAAGAAATATTATCCAAAAAGAAATGAATACTCGAATCAGATAAATAATTTTACAAACAGACCATTAAAATTATTTTATGTGAGCGTTTGCAATAGCTCATTTCATAAGATGTCGAATCATAATATCACATTCAAATTTATACTGTAGACATTTTCTAAAACTCATATGTTTGTTTGACTTGACTAAATAATTTATATTATTTTATCAATTATAACTATAGTATTTATTGTTATTTGAACAATGCACAAATAAGATCAATTAACCATTTTGTTCGTTTATCTAAAAAGAACTTTTGGATATTCAAATCATATAAATCATTATTAAATAACTTCCGAAAACATATTTAAACATATTTGCATATGTCCGAAAAATTAATTAACGGGATTTACTTGCGTTGAGTGTTTTAATGTTTTCTATACTTCAATATGACGTAACGCAATATTTTCAATGTAAAAATCGTTTCAAAAATTACTAGCCAAAACTTTTAAATTAGTGATGCTTCGATCTTACTGTTATTATGACGCCAATGAAATTTTTATTCATGTATTCAGCTATTAATTTTGTTTTTTCTTATGATAATTTCACGTTTGAAAAATGTTTATCTTTACGGGGTATTTTTTGTTTTTTGAGTATTGTAAAATGATATTAACTACTAAAAAGAAGATTATGAAACAACGTTGTCATTTAATTTCCAGACAAACAAATACAAATTATTATTATAAAAGCAATAAGTATTTTTAAAATTATGTATTTATTGTCATAAAACAATTACTAAACATGAACGCTGCAGTTATTTTTATATTCTGCGGTTGGAGTATGAAACGAGTTACTTACACCGTATTTGTCTATTCGCTATGACTACACACTATTGTGCATTACATGTTTAATAACAAAAAACCCTACACATTGTAGTATTTTTGCCCAAACATTTCGATTGATGAAAACCAAACATTCGTGTAATAAAATAATAATACACTCGTCGTGTAACGGTTTATACTCAATCATCAAATCCACACATTTTATTTGTGTAACGTTTCTCTGAACTGCAATTGGCTATTCGTTGCGAGGGCAAATCCATAAGGCAAGTATTGCATGCAAGTGGTTGTCGATCGGACGGCAACTGAATTCTACAACACATGAGCTATTAAAAAAAAAAAACAACAGCCCGTGGTAATCATAAAGTAATTTGCGAACATTTTATTAATAGGTATAGGGAATCGCAGATGCAAGACCAAAAATATATGCTCTTGTGCTATGGAATTTGTTACGAATTTTAATTGGGCAATGGCTGCACAAAGTTTACCCGGCCCACGTCCGATAAATATCAGTTTTATTGTGTAGGTCTAGACGGAATTGGCTTAAAAATAAAACCGCGCCGAATGCGGTTTAACATAACATCCATTAAAAGCAAGTAAAATTAAAATATATAGTTTCCACTTAAACTCCATTAGATAATGTTTTTTTACAAAAATAAAACAATGAATCCTGTATGCTCATAAAAGTCTTTGGTAACATAACTACGTTTAACATCAATTGACTGGCGATAAGTATAAACTATTAGCCGGAGCGTTTGTTTTACACGTCCTTTTTGGTAATCAATAATTAACAACTAGGCCGAATAGTTCTTAGTAGTTTCTGTTTGTAATACCTCGTCTGGATTTCTGTGTTTTGTGCACAAAACTAAAAGTTTGTCCCAAACAGTAAAATAATCAATTAATGTTGCGGCCATCAAAACGACGAGGAAGCTAAGAGATTCGCCGTTGTACCGCCTCGCTGGGTTAATAACGCACGGAGAAGTAGCGTTGATCTTTTACCGACGTTCCTGGAAAGTCGTTAAATTTCGCACGTTTACCATCACAGAGAGGTCGAGTTTATGAATTCGAGTCCGGATTTAGCGACAAATGAATAATACTGTTTGGTTAGTAAAAATGTCAACTAAAAAATGTATACATTCGAAAACAATCTCGGACGTCAAGCACACGATATTTTCACGGTCGGGCTACCGATGGTTTGTCGCAAAAACGTACACAGCATCGCAAATCGAGTGGACAATGAGTACAGTTTAATACGATTTCTCTTTTCAGTGAATTGTCATTGAGTGTTGGCGGAATCGACCGTCCGGAAAACGGATTAATTACTTGTGATGCCATGTACAAATGAACAATAACGGCATATTAAACAACGCACGATAGGCGATGAGTCGAGACAGTTAAGAGCTGCAATTAACTTTACACTTCAAGTGTACAACAGTAATTGTGAATAATCGCATCATTTCGTAGTGCGGGCGAGTCCAATTGTTCGTACAAATTTCAGCGATCAATTCAATAACCGTTTTCTAGGGCGAACAAATCTAATGGTCTCGAGGTGGAATTAGGTACCGACTAAATTTCCGATGGAAAATTGTTCACCAGCAAGTTGTTCGGTTATATTTTGAACGTGTTAGGGGGAAAAAAACATTAACTGCACTGGAAAACGACATCAAACCCGTGCGAAACAATTGTGGTACTAATGAATACAACTTATGAAATAACATAGTACGCGTTTATTATAATTTTATGATAATGTATTTTTAGCACTACAATGCTAGACATTCATGAATGCATTGTAAGCTAATGTTAAATATACAATGTGACCTATATAAAACGTATAATCCGCTCGAAAAGTTTTTTTGAACGATACGCGCAAGTAAAAAAATATGTAATCCGTCTACCTAGTCCATTTATTAAATTAAAATTAAATATTTGTACAAACGTTTTAGTGAAAAACGCTTTATATAATATATCATGTTTTTGTTGTTATTTTTCGGTAAAATTTTTTCATTACTCTTGAAGTGTAAATACTCGAATTTCAATAAATTTAATCAGCGTTAAGTTTTATAATCGCAGTTTACCCTTCGTAAATACATTCAAACAGGTTAAGGTCGAAGATATTATGGCTCGTGTAACTAGGTTAACGTGTGCATTATGAACGCATTAAATTTTTAATGCAAAGCACACCGGTCGTTAGTACCGCGCGATTGAAATTAATGGAGGATTTCATGACATCATTTCCTAGGAGATAAACATTGTTATATATTATTTTCATTTTTGCATTATGCTTTAAACATACAGCTCTTCAGAGACGAAACGTCACTGTCTATAATTGGTGTTATCATTTCCTCCCATCTACCGACAAATGTGACAAAAACGATTTACTTTTCTCGAAATAATATTGAAATTCCGGGTAAAGTTTTGATGTTCATAAAAATGACATCACATATTTCTATTTAATGAAATAATGCAAAGCGATTAGTATTAAAAGCCAAGTTCAAGTGTACGAATGTTAGCTATATAATTCTTATATGAAACAGATATTATATCAGTAAATTTAAAATAGGTTTTTTCTTACATTTGTATTGATTAAATTTGAACGACTTTAAACCCATAATACTATTTGTTGACATGCTCTATTGTTCAGTTATTCATTTTCTCCGAAAATCTCAAAACCTTGTGTTTGTTCTAGTTATTTAATGACAACACGGGGGATATATTTTAATTAATTCTAACACCAATCGGTATTATTGTCTAAGTTAATCGTTTATGATTTTACAAGGTTTAAAATATTCTCAATATTCCAACATTGATATGAATAATGGTAAGTAGTTTTACCGCTTACTAGTAATAATAATCCAATTCATTGAACATAAAAGTGATTACGTTTTGAGATTTATTTTCTTGATTACACAATCGGAGTATAAAAGTGCATGTTTGAAATATTAAACTGAGAGTAAATATGAAACAGAACATAAAGCTCTACTTGGATAGTAAATCTATAGTGAGATAACATGTATTTGTCGTTATTCCAAGAAAGAATAGGGTATCCGCAAGATAAATTAAATTTTATGTAAACTTTCAAGAGCACAGTACCTACATAGAATTCGAAATGTGATTCGTGGTTGCTAATACTCTAGTATCTAAACAACAAAGGACATTTTCAACAGCCATCCGACTGTCAACTAGAAATATATTTATTACTACCCTTCCGGAAAATACCTACTAATATGATTATGTTAAGA